TTCTTTATACGCCCCTCTCTTACTTTCTTTTATGGATTCATTCTGGTCTTCTACGCTCTGCCATTCTTTAAAGGCATTTTTCTTTTCTCTCAAAACTTCTCTAATACTTTCACTCCACCACCACCCATCCTTATCTATCATACGCTTCCCTTTTGTTTCTCCTAACACCTTCCTTCCCACACTTCGGATACAATCAGCCATTTCCTTCCAGCACTCATTCACACTCATTCCTTCCATATCACCCATCTCTATCATCTTGTTTACAACTAGCTCTCTAAATTCACTTGCATACCCCTCCTTATGCAGCAAATGCCACTTTATTTTGGGTGGGGGACGATCCTTATGTTTGTTGAGGCGAACAGTTAAGCAGATGTCAGCCAAAAAAAATACATATTTTCCCAATATTTGTTTTTGCGTATATCGGCAGCACTAAATGAGCACTAAATTATTATCTCATATCATTAGGTGATAATCCACTTGGATGTCAATTTTTTCTTTACATACTCTGCTAAAGATGTCAAAGTAGCAGAATTTATGATATTAAAAAAAATATATATTTTCCCAATATTTATTTTTGCGTATATCGGCAGCACTAAATGAGCACTAAATTATTGATGCTTCTATTTGGTGCTGTATTAAGCGGTTATCGTTTTAATAGGTGGAACACTGCTAGCTTAATTAAAAGCTAGCAGTTTTCTAATCTTTGATCAAGCTATTTTGGCGTGAAATTTAAATTTGCAGCACTAAATTAGCACTAAATATTTAGCAAAAATTTAAGTGATTTTGCTCAAATGACCATTCCAGCTTAACAGACCTCTTAAGGCGTTACCCCGACCAAAACCTTGCGATAGTGCGTGTGCGTTATTCAGAGACTATTATCTCATTAGTTATGAAAAATAAACTTACATCTAAAAGCACATTATTAATGTTCGATATCCTATCATCACATTCCACGTTCTAATTTGTTTTTATGTGTTATAAATACATTTAAAATCTACTTTTAAATAATGACTAAAATTATTGATTACATGCATCTGTTGCTAAAGGCAACGCTTTAATCATTTGAGGATTACACTAATGGATAGATAATTTAAAAATCTGTATTCTTCACGTTTTATTTTAATTTTTCAAGTTAGTTTTTGTTTTTAAATTAAAATAATTCCAAAAATTGTGTGAATTCTATATTAAAGCGGCGTACGTCTAAAGAGGGAACGAATGCTCAAGGTCAATTTAGTCACGGAAACGTCTTAAGAAGTTTCTCCACTTCATAAATAAACTAAAATATAAGAAATAATAATTAAAAAAAAAAAACAATAATTGAAATCGGTTTACATTTGCGAAAATATTGCTAATATACAAACAAAATACAAAAGACTCAAGATAAAGCAAAGTATCAAATACTCTCAGGCGACAGACATGGTGTTATCAACGAGACGCAGCTGCACAGTCCTCGGTGTGTTAAATAATCATCTGATGAAACTCACTGGAGCGATAGATTGGCTACTATATATTGCACACGCGTGACGTCAATGCGACAATTCAAAACCTATCGAGAATTTTCCTTTTCTCTACCCCACATTTAATTCTATTAAGCCAATCTTGAAAAACTGAAAGGTTGCATTAGAACTAGGAGTCCGACCGAAAATGGTTTTTTTTACCTTAAATACCCATATTTAAGTAAACCATTTATTATTGTGATTTTTTTTATAGGATAAGGGTGACAAACGAGCACACAGTCCACCTGATGGTAAGAGGATGCTGTGGCCCATAGATATCTACATTTATCCTCGTTTGCGAATCAAAATGCAGATGCGTTGTCACCCCTGAGGACTAGGGGGATGAAGTTGCCCGCGTCCGTAGGAATTACTTGAATCCTGATTCCCTACACGTATCCCCTGGGTAGTGCTAAACGAGCAGCAGTATATACTGGTGGTTGGTCTTCTACTAGTGAGAGGCCCGGCCGAGGGTTAGTTACCACCCATCTGGCAAAGACCTACCACCAAATGATGCAAATCGTGTTCCGGTATGATGTTAGGTGAAACCCAATTCTTAGGGAGAATGGGTCTGGATAGTTGCGTTGAGCATACAAACCGGTTGCGACACGGCCGTTTCTTGGTGTCAGGTGCCTGGTTATAGAGGTTAACGAAATCCGAAGAACGGGTGCACCGTTGGCCGACCGTAGATAGTTGGGGGATTAATGAGCCAGCTACTCATGAAAGGTTCCCCGCAATCTTACGAAAAATCCTGGGATGGCTCCAAGATAGAGTGCCTCGTTTTCAGTAAAAGGGGTCTCTCTACACTCACCATACGAAACACAGCAGCATTAAGTTGCTATTTTACACTGGTATTCTGTGACAGCGTGGTCCTTACACGGTCGAGCCGACCCATTCGTGTTACTATACTAGTAATATACGAGTAGCTCCAGCATGGCTCTACCACGTAAACGATTTTTGTATTAATCCAAAGGAAAATTTAAGAACTAAATTAAATAATATATATATTATTATGCAAAAAATGGTAAATTTTCTGCATTTTCTCCCGTCCTGTCCGTATATGTTTGACCCACTGAACTGAACAATTATAAAAATACTGAGAGGAATATGTATATTTTCGTTTTCAGTACGTGACGAAAAAATAGAGACCTCGAACGAAAGTAGTTTTGGTTGGGCTCGATTTCATAGTATTGCCTATTTCGCTTTTTTGTACAGTATAAATGTCTGCTGTCAAGACACAATTATTAAATTAAATAATATGCTTCAAACACACCCAATAGTGACTCTAATGACCTCCCATAGGTATACCAACTTGTATAATGTCAAATACAAAATATCTACACCAGTAATGAAGAGCGATAAAAGTGCGAGACATCTGTTATTACTGCTCCAAAACCACCCGCAGACCGAGGCGGTTATAGTAAAACCTTTTTTCAATAGGATAGGATAGGTCCAAGTGTTACAATTAAACTTATTATAGTTAATTATGGAAAATATAAGTTTATAAATTTAGAAGCAAATATAAACTTATTTACAAAAAAGAAGTGACAATCGACTTTACAAACCACCTTATGGTAAGTGGCTAATGCAGTCCACGGACACCTGGAGCCAACTTAAAACAAGAAAGGCTACAGGTGCGTGGTCAGTAGGGTTAAGATTGAATACCTCACAGCCTGTAGCAGTGCAGGCACTACTATTTACTACGCCAAAGATATCGACCAGATCCGCCACTGGAGTCAGAAAAGCGGGTGCTTCCGAGTGCTCATTTTTTCCTGGCCCCATGGCCTCCACGTATCTGGCTCGGAGCGTGGCCGACCCATGGCGATAGCGTTCCCGTGGCCCTACTTATATGCGGCGATAGTGGAACACTATCGGGTTTTAGTCGGTGCGAGTCCGACATAACCCGTCCTTGCGCCCGCGCGGCGGGTATGCATAGGCCCCATGTAAAAAAGGCACTATTACCTAGTCAGGTCATAAGTATTGTCACACAGTAAAAACTTTTCTTTTAGAATGCTGGCCACAAAAAAGTTTATTGAATTCGAATTTCGAATTGTTCATGAAAATAAAACTGTATACTTTTTAGAATTTTACTCATTTTTAAATATGGAGTGGACGCTTAAAGAAGACCGTGTTGCAGTTATTGCGTTGCATCGTTGCGGTTACGCGCCAATTCAAATTTTTGACATACTGAAAATTTTGAATATAACCAAAAGATTCGTTTATCGTACCATCAAACGATACAATGAAGACTCTAGTGTAGATGACAGGTCAAGAAGGGGTCGCCCTCGGTCTGTTAGGACTCCAGCAGTGATAAAAGCTGTGAAGGCGCAAATTCAAAGAAATCCCAAACGTAAGTAGAAACTGTTGGCCTTTCAGATGGGGTTAAGCAGAACCACGGTGAAAAGGGTGTTCAATGAAGACTTAGGGCTTCGGGCATATCGAAGAAAAACAGGACATCGTTTGAATGCTCGTCTAATGGACCTGAGACTGAAGAGATGCCGCGCTTTGTTGAAGCGGTACGCGGGAAAAAATATCGGGAAATTCTTTTTTCTGATGAAAAAATTTTTACCGTAGAAGAGAGCTACAACAAACAAAATGATAAAGAGTTCGCACACAGTAGTGAAGAAGCGAGCAACCGTATTCCGCGTGTCATACGAGGTCATTTTCCACCCTCGCTCATGGTATGGTTGGGAGTTTCTTATTGGGGCTTAACAGAGGTACATTTTTGTGAGAAAGGTGTAAAAACGAATGCAGTTGTGTATCAAAATACAGTCCTGACGAACCTTGTGGAACCTGTTTCTCATACCATGTTCAATAACAGGCACTGGGTATTCCAATAAGATTCGGCGCCAGCTCATAGAGCGAAGAGCACACAAGACTGGCTGGCGGCGCGTGAAATCGACTTCATCCGGCACGAAGACTGGCCCTCCTCCAGTCCAGATTTGAATCCGTTAGATTACAAGATATGGCAACAGTTGGAGAAAAAGGCGTGCTCAAAGGCTCATCCCTATTTGGAGTCACTCAAGGCACCCTTGATTAAGGCAGCCGCCGATATTGACATGGACCTCGTTCGTGCTGCGATAGACGACTGGCCGCGCAGATTGAAGGCCTGTGTTCAAAATCACGGAGGTCATTTTGAATAAACTTTAGTGTCATAAGAATCTATGTTTTGTTAAGTTCATTTTGGTATATAAATGGTTACATAATGAATAAACTTGTTTCAATTATTTTATATTAAACGTGACAGAATGTATGACCTGACTAGATATTTGGCGGCAGATAATTACCATTATTACGGCACTACTATTAGAGATACTATTGGCGGTAAGAGGGTGGTATCTAACTAGAAGGACTCCTATCACCTAGATAGGTGTGTACCTAGACAATACTAGATAGGCAACCACTAGGTTTCACATATTTATACCTTTAACGGGAGAAGCCCATTTCCAGAAACGGGCATGGACTTTTAGGGGCTGGTGACAAAGAATAAGAAGAAAGTATACATACCTGTCGACGTCTGTCTGTGCAGAATTCCGCTATGCCTTGCAACAAGGGTTTCCACGCCACCTCCCACAGGTCGTACTCTTCAGTCCCTATGGGTGAAAATGATTAGTATCGAGTCCATATATTTATGCCAGAGATTATCAAACTTATTTCTTTTACCGCCCTCTTTGAATATCAATTATTTTTCAGCGCCCCCAATTTTTATACATGCCTAAAACTTAAAAAACACAATTTCATCACTTTAATTAATTTAGTTATGGTGACATTATTACCAGTGAGAGCAATTAAAGCATAACTTTATAATATTAAGTGTATATTTTAATCAAATTAAAAGAAACAATATAGATAAGTAATCAATTTTCTACCGACTTCAAAAAGGAGACTGACTGTACTCAATTCGACGGTATGTTTTTTTTATGTTTGTTACCTCGTAACTTTTTACTGGGTGAACCGATTTCGATGATTCTTTTTGTATTTGAAAGCTGGTGCTTTACATGTGGTCCCACTTAAATTTGATTAAGGTCTGGCTAATAGTTTTTGAGTTATTCTTAATAATTTATATTGAAGTCGATTGTACAAAATTTTTAATTTTTAATTATAGTTTTATCAAAAAATATTGTTATGTCATAGTACACTTTTTCAACAAGGAAGCCATTGAGCGCAGTTTTAAATCTTTTGGCATCATTAATTAATCGGATATTTGATGGGATTTTGTTATAGATTTTTGGAGCCATGCAATTTACACACATTCTTCGAAGAAGGGGTTTGCATTTGTGGTTAACTTTCAATGTGCCTTCACGAAGACTTCCGGCAGTATCCATTTCAAATTAAATTGGGTTATTTCGAACAAAGTTTGCAACCTCATATATATACATACACGGCAGTGTTAGAATATTATATTTGCGAACGTACGGTTCACATGAATCATCCTGATTTAGACCGAATATTGATCTAACGCACTTTTTTGCGCTTTGAGAACACTTTGTTTTTCAGTAGTGTTGGCCCAAAACATTATTCCATACCTTAAGTTTGATACAACATATCCGTGATAGGCTGTTAGGACAGTTTTAAGACTGGCAACCTTCCTTAGTTTATAGAAATGAAATCACTGTGGAGATTTTCCAAATGTTGGCATTAGACAAGTAAGTCGTCGTTGTTGCAGGATACTGATAAATTGGGAAAATTATGGAACTCACGTCTGCCGATATCTTCTTGTGTAAGAGCAGCTTGGCTACGAAAGCAGTATTTTATTTTTTTATTGTATTTTTGTTTTTATTAAGTTCAAGTCATCGCCTTGAAGTTGGAGATTCATATCATTAAGCAATGTATAAAGGTATGTCAGGTTTTTTTATAGAATAAGGGTGACAAACGAGCACACAGTCCACCTGATTGGACATCTACATCTATCTTCGGTTGCGAATTAAAATCCAGATGCATTGTCAACCGTGAGGACTAAGATAGGATGTCTCTTTTCCAGTAAAAAGGGTCTCCGGTTCTCTACACTCATTATACGAAACGCAGCAGCATTAAGCTGCTATTTCACGCTGGTATTGTGTGAGAGCGATGTCCTTCCCCGGTCGAGTCAACCAATTAGTGCCACAACTATACTATTAATATAGCTGCAGCATGGCTGTTTAGGCCCAAAAATGGACAGTTTGAGACGGCATCCAATCACCTTCGACTTGGCGAATCACCCGACGGTGTCGAGGTGAGGTAACGCTGACGGCGGAGGGAGGCAGCTGCGTGCCGCGATCTGTGGCTCAACGCGCGGGCTGAAAAGTCTCAGAGCAGCGGTGCGGTTAATCCACGTATTTTGTAGTGACCGCTGCAGCGGTTTTTCGCGCGATCAGTTTCGGTTGTGGTCTAGATTTTTAGTATTTGTGCGCGTTTAAATTCGCTATTAGTGATTGCGTGTTGAAGTGAATTTTGCAATATTTAAATTGCTGTGAATCGAATCGAACCGCGTCGTTGCCTCTGATAGTGTCGATTTTGTTAACGGTTTTGTGCAACGACGAGGAATTGTGTAGTCTAGAACATTAGACGCCAGGTTGGCTAATTGTTGAGAAGTTAATGTTTAATTGTATCGTTGCGTTAAGTGCCATAAAAGGTCGCGTTCGGTTTTCGAAATAATTTGTTGCGGAGTGAACGTAAGTGAACTTTGATCCACCGGTCATCCGTCGTGCCGCATGTTACTTTTTTGATTATAATTAACGGGATTTAGTTGCGTCTTGAAGTTAGTTAAATGTACAATAAAGTTAATAGACTGACATAGTGAATTGAAGAAAGAAATTGTCCATTGCTGCCGCCGCTGGAGAATACCAAGCCGGTGGGCGGTGCCGGAGTCAGGGTTGCTGCTGATTAAAAGGGCTAATTCAGGTTACACAGATATACAATTCTCACATACACATTAGTCTGGGCAACTAGGTGCGTGAACAATGGCTCTACCACGTATAATGTATGCGATATCATTCTTTGATGTGATCGCTCCACAGGTTGTCGCGTAATTCTGTGTATTTATTTTCCAAGAACTCTACGACCAAACAGATTGTAAAATCGAGTTGATAGCCTAAGCACTTCAGTGTGAAAGATCAATCTATTGAAATCTTCATCATTAGTAACACAAAGCTGATTAAATAATCTGTTATTTAAAGAGTTGTTTCGGATTTTATTGACTTCTCAGATGACATGTTGCAATGATTGAAACAGTCATTCACTTAAATTTCTAGCAACCAAATATTGACGATTTATGACGCAATTTACAGCAAGCAGATCTGGAATTGTGTTTTTTTATGTACGCTATGAAGCCTTTTAGACACCCCGTCATAGCTGGAGCACCATCTGTAGCAGTTGATATAATATTTTTCAAGGGAATTCCTTTTTCATTACAAAACTTTTCCAGATTTTTAAATATGATTTCTCCTTTTGTGTCTGTCTCTGAATTTCTAGCAAATAATAGTTCTTCTACAATAAAAAACAATTACCTTGTCCATGGTCCGCTTCGTCTCGCCACCATTTAAATATCTGAGCAGTGCGGCTGTGCAGTGTGTGCATGAGGTCGAGAAGCTAAAACAAATATTCATTTATCTTAACAAATTACATTATTATTATAATAATAATATTTTATTTGCAGAAAACATGATATATGAATGGATGGATGATGGAATGCCTCATTTCTAGTAAAAAGGGCCTCCGGCCACCTGCACTCACCAAGCGAAACGTAGAGGTAAACTCTACTTCAAGCTGGTTTTCTGTGAGGTCGTGGTACCACCCCGGTTCGAACCGGCCCATCCGTGTGACAGCAAAAGCTGCCGCGTAGCTCTACCACTGTTACAATTTTATTACGATTGATTTAATTACGTCGTTTAATATGAAACTGTGTATTGGTGACTGGAAGAACTTACATCTTAACGATTTAGTAAAACAACTGAAGGAAACATATTCACAGTTGTTTACAGATGAACTGGGGACTTTTAAGAAATAAAAAGTAACTTTAAAAATAAATAATGATGCTCGGTTAGTTTTTTAAGCCGAGAAGAGTACCAGTAGCTTTGAAACATAAAGTTGAGTTAGTTATAATTGTATAGAAGTTGAATTATTCTTCTATATATATTATTGTTAGAATGCCCTTGCATTACATAAGTTTTGTGAAATAAGTCTGCCTTGTATATTTAATTTGTTTGAATTTCAGGTTGATTTCATCTTCCACGTAGATCATCTACATATTATCTGTTTATACTATATCAACCAGTGGTGTTGAAGTGACACCAAGAAAGAGGGAAAGATTAAAAACAATATCTAAATTAAAGAGAAGAATAATAGATAAAGGAAAAAGTTAAAATATGTGCATGCTCAAAAGAAAGTATAGGATATAAAATAATTCAACATATATATTATTCAAAGTATATTAGCATTAAGCGATCCTTTCCACGCATATAAGAAAAAAAAATGTTTTGCAATATATTAAATAAATGTATATGGATATAATGGATAGAGAGGAACAGTTTTGTAAAACAAACTTAAGTATGAAGATTATATCGCAGATTTGCATTCTCAGCATAATGATGTAAAATCGTTAATATAGTTATTTATATCTTTATAAAGATAAAAGAGGTTAAATTTACCCATTAAAAGACGTGTGATTGATGTATGTTTATTTTGTGAAACAATATTAAGGTAAATATAAAAATTACGTTCGCGTTCGTAGATCTAGAAAAGGCCTATGATAGAGTGGTGAGGAATGAATTGTGGTCAGCACTGTCCGTGAACGGTGTGAGCAGTATCCTCATACGAGCAATGCAATCTCTTTATGGGGATTCTAGTGCTTGTGTAAGGATAAACGGGGCATACACTGAATGGTTTAATATCGAAAAAGGTGTTAGACAGGGATGTGTAGCGTCACCGTGGCTGTTTAATCTGTTCATGGATAATTGTTTGACAGATTTAAAAGAGAATGAAAATGGGTTGAGAATGAATGAGTTACTGGTCAAATGTTTTCTCTATGCTGATGACCAAGTATTACTTGCGTCTTCGGCCGAGGAGTTGCAGGAGATGGTAACTGCTATGAGTGGAGCTTTTGTTAGAAAGGGAATGAAGATGAATATAAGGAAGACGAAAGTGATGGTGTTTGAAAAAGATGAGACAGTGACAGACTGCAATATTGTGATTGAAGATGAACAAATTGAACAGGTGAAAGAGTTTGTGTATCTGGGTTCAAAGTTTACAAGAGATGGAAAGTGTGAGAGTGATATTGAAAGAAGAGTGAATGCAGGAAACATGGTGAATGGAGCTTTGCACTCCTTTATGAGCAGTCGGAAGGTGTCTAACAAGGCTCGTTTGGCTGTGCATGAGGGGGTGTTGGTTCCGACACTCATGTACGGAAGTGAAACTTGGGTATGGCAGAAGAAACATGAAAGCAGAATAAATGCAGTTGAGATGAGAGCATTAAGAAGTATGATAGGAGTTAAACTGAGTGACAGGATAAGAGATAATGAGATAAGGAAACGTTGTGGTCTGAAAGAAGATGTAGTGACAAAAATTGAGAAAGGTATGCTGAGATGGTTTGGCCATGTCGAGAGAATGAATGAAGAACGATTGACGAAAAAAGTGTATAAGGCGAGTGTGAATGAAAGTGTTGGAAGGGGCAGACCTAGGCGGACATTTCTAGACCAAATCAGGGACGTCTTGAAAAAAGGCCAGGTCAAGAGTACCCTAAACCGTAGAGCATGTATGAAGGGAATAATGAAAGTGGACGAAGCAAAACAAGTATGTAAGGATCGTAGCAATTGGAAAGAACTGGTCTCTGCCTACTATTACTACTATTACGGGAAAGAGGCGTGATTATATTTATGTATGTAAATATAAAGATTAAAATCTTAATAAAAACAAATAACAATTTTTTTTAGAACGTTACCTACTAGGAATTTTTCCTGTATCGCGAGTGCAGTTTATATATATAGATTTCAGAAGTACAAACATCCAGACCCAGAATAATTATTTGTAGGCCATACAAATACTTGTTCCGTGAGGGAATCGAACTCGCGTCCATTAGCGCTGCGACTCATTGCTAAGCCACTGCGCCACGGAGCCGTCAATTAATTGTCACCAGGTTCTTAAATAATTTTTAGTCATTTTTGTTATGTTATGCTTAAGCAGTATAACTCCCTGCGTGCGTACATAAGTACACACGTTTTTTATTTATTTATTTCTTATTTTTGGCACACCAAAATACAGGAAGAATAGAATCACTCTGAAAGTGTCCTCTTCGAGAAAACCTTTGTGTAGAGGACTGATACAAATAAAGGTTAAATAAACATGCGTAAGTGTCGTAGAACACTCGGTTGGCACGAAGTTTCTTTCGCAGTATATTATTATTATTGATAAACGTATTAGCGTCATTTAAAATAATATTTCCTTCAATGCAAGATAAGAAAAAGTGCGAGGGAGAAGGATATTATTACCATCTCGCTTCCTTCTAGCCAGCAAGGTCGTGACGAAAAACTCGTACAATTTTTTTCGCCTAGCTCCCATCCAAAAAGTCCGTATCGTGCGATAAGGAACTTCGTCCCAATAGTATATTTATGTATGAAATAAGTCTCCAAGGTACAGGTCCCGTCACGTAAAAAGAACGCTGAGCGACAGTGGAGAGGGTGTGTCTGCGCATGGGTACAATCGAGTTCTAAAGTACTACATGGTACTAGGCTATTGTTTTATAATATAAATAAGAGTAATTAATTGTTTTATTGTAGAATCATAATAGCTACTTTACTAGCTACTTATAACTTTAGAAAAGGTTGGAATTAAAATGGATAATGTTTACTTGAGCATTATTTTTTATTTCTGTCGTAAAATATAAAGTAGTTTGTAGCAAGAAAACTTAAGCTAAAGGTGACACGACGTCCATTATACCGTCTTGGGTCACATGGAAGCCAGATGTCGATGGTATGTTGGTGTTACTGGATGCTACTTCATCATCACTTTTATCTTCGCTTGAGCTTCCGTCATCAGAACCATCATCATCAATGTGAATGTTAAATGTTTCCGTCATCAGGTCGACCACATGGTAATTTTTTCGGTTTCCTTCCTCAATACTTTTAACTTTACTGCACAATTTTCCTCATTCACCTTCTTCCTACATATTTACCTTTTCGTTCACTAGTTCAGTCATAAAACAATAGATATAAATAATTTATCTTTCCTTCTTTTTAAAACCATCGTCGCACGACATGCAAAAAAGTTGTGTGTGCGACTGTATTTTGGGAGCGAACGAAGTGCGGGAAGCATGACGAACCAATAGCGTGCGCGTACCCCCGTCGAGCCCCCTTCGTACCACCAACATACGATAAATCGCTCAGTGTGCAGGTACAAGGCCAGCGTTCTTTTTACGTGACGGGACCTATACATAATAAAATAATATTGTATGACTTCCTCCTACGATAGTTGCTTAAGAAAATAATTTATAAGAAGATTATAAAACGTATATTACATAATAAAAAGTGGAGTGGAGGCCTTAGAATATCCATAGGTATTCCAAGGCCATCATCGGGTTAGGCATGTCGTGGGTGCGTAAAATGCGACAGAGGAAATCTTAAATAGAACTAGTGCAGCAGCAGTCTCCTAAAACCACTAAAATAATATAAACTGCGATTGCTAACTCGCCTGCTAAGCGTGGCAACTATGGCAAATATCCCCCTTATGAGCCTTTCTGGATGAATTCCTTATTGTTCAGCGGTGAACTTCGACAGGCTGTAGTGATGATGATGAAGAGGAAGAGTATTAAAAATAAAGCAAATCAATACAGCTACAGACACTGCGGGTGCACCAGCGAAACAATGAGAAGCAAGCACAAATGATATCGAACCTGTATGCTGACCATGTGGTATTGGTCCAGTGTGTCGAGCTCCTCGTCGCTGGAGTCCTCGTTATTGCGTCGGGAGCCGCGGGTGCGTCTGGCCTCACCGCTTCGGTTGCTCTTTTTGCCTGTTGGACCAAACATAGTTTTAACTCAATTTTTATGTAGAATGATCAAGATGCATTAAAAACAATAAAAGCAGCAGGTGGTAGTGGTAACAGTGGTCGATCTTCGTCTTCATAGGCTCGTCCATTGCTTTCTTTTTTTTTCGAAATCGTAACCTCGATACTAGGATTTTCTCTGTGAGAGCGCGGTCCCTCCCTGGTCGGGTTGACCCATCCGTGCTACAGCCATAATATAGCTGCAGCTTAGTTCTACCACGTTTTGTGCGATCGAGTTAACTTCGCACCTGGTTGAAACGCGCAGCCCCTCCCACTTACCCGCTCACATCCCTGCGTAGTCCTGTATTGTACATCCTTACACTGAACAGTTTTGCAGAGCGTCAATATGACGTCATAGGCGCCAGGTGCGGAGTTAAATCGATCGAGTCGTATGAGGTACAACGTACAAGGTGCCACGTGCGTGCAGCACGTCACGTGTGTGCAGAACGTTACGTACCGTGAAACCTGGCAACTTTGCCATTTTTGGAAGGACTTAAAAGTTTAAGACCAATTTTCCAACAAAAATGTACTAGCAGACTGGGCGTCAATGTTAAATGTGACATTATATTCTTCATTGATTTGGTATTTATTAATGATTTAAACAAATAATAACATTGAATAGACAAAACACTCAATAATAGAAAATGGCAAAGTTAACCTCACTTTGTGGCAACTTTGCTATCAAGGTTTATAATGAAGATAATAGGATTTGACTTCAAGATTGGAGGTATGTTAACCTTATAATATAATACACAACACCCATGAGTTATGATTTGCTTCTTTGTGGTGTAAATAGCAAAGTTTACGCTTGTGGCGAAATTGCCCACCCATTTTTCAGTTTTTCATACAGTTGTGCAGCGTCACGTGCGTGCAGTGCGTCACGTTAGTGTAGTGCAACACGTGCGTGCAGTGCGTCACGTGCGTGCAGTGCGTCTCGTTAGTGTAGTGCAACACGTGCGTGCAGTGCGTCTCGTTAGTGTAGTGCAACACGTGCGTGCAGTGCGTCACGTTAGTGTAGTGCAACACGTGCGTGCAGTGCATCACGTGCGTGCAGTGCGTCTCGTTAGTGTAGTGCAACACGTGCGTGCAGTGCGTCACTTTAGTGTAGTGCAACACGTGCGTGCAGTGCATCACGTGCGTGCAGTCCGTCTCGTTAGTGTAGTGCAACACGTGCGTGCAGTGCGTCACGTTAGTATAGTGCAACACGTGCGTGCAGTGCATCACGTGCGTGCAGTGCATCACGTGCGTGCAGTGCGTCTCGTTAGTGTAGTGCAACACGTGCGTGCAGTACGTCACGTGCGTGCAGTACGTCACGTTAGTGCAGTGCGTCACGTTAGTGTAGTGCAACACGTGCGTGCAGTGCGTCGCGTGCGTCAGTGCGTCACGGGCTTGTTGTGCGTCACGTGCGTGCACTGCGTCACGTTAGTGTAGTGCAACACGCGCGTGCAGTGCGTTACGTGCGTGCAGTGCGTCATGTTAGTGTAGTCCAACACGTGCTTACAGTGCGTCACGTGCGTGCAGTGCGTCACGTTAGTGTAGTGCAACACGTGCGTGCAGTGCGTCACGTGCGTGCAGTGCGTCACGTTAGTGTAGTGCAACACGTGCATGCAGTGCGTCACGTGCGTGCAGTGCGTCACGTTAGTGTAGTGCAACACTTGCGTGCAGTGCGTCACGTGCGTGCAGTGCGTCACGTTAGTGTAGTGCAACACGTGCGTGCAGTACGTCACGTGCGTGCAGTGCGTCACGTTAGTGTAGTGCAACACGTGCGTGCAGTGCGTCGCGTGCGTCAGTGCGTCACGGGCTTGTTGTGCGTCACGTGCGTGCAGTGCGTCACGTTAGTGTAGTGCAACACGCGCGTGCAGTGAGTTACGTGCGTGCAGTGCGTTATGTTAGTGTAGTGCAACACGTGCGTGCAGTGCATCACGTGCGTGCAGTGCGTCACGTTAGTGTAGTGCAACACGTGCTTGCAGTGCGTCACGTGCGTGCAGTGCGTCACGTTAGTGTAGTGCAACACGTACGTGCAGTGCGTCACGTTAGTGTAGTGCAACACGTGCGTGCAGTGCATCACGTGCGTGCAGTGCGTCTCGTTAGTGTAGTGCAACACGTGCGTGCAGTGCGTCACTTTAGTGTAGTGCAACACGTGCGTGCAGTGCATCACGTGCGTGCAGTCCGTCTCGTTAGTGTAGTGCAACAAGTGCGTGGAGTGCGTCACGTGCGTGCGGTGCGTCACGTGCATGCAGTGCGTCACGTGCATGTAGTGCAACACGTGCGTGCAGTGCATCACGTGCGTGCAGTGCGTCACGTTAGTGTAGTGCAACACGTGCGTGCAGTGCGTCACGTGCGTGCAGTACGTCACATGCGTGCAGTGCGTCACGTTAGTGTAGTGCAACAAGTGCGTGGAGTGCGTCACGTGCGTGCGGTGCGTCACGTGCATGCAGTGCGTCACGTGCATGTAGTGCGTCACGTGCGTGCAGTGCGTCACGTGCGTGCAGTGCGTCACGTTAGTGTAGTGCAACACGTGCAGGCAGTGCGTCACGTGCATGCAGTGCGTCACGTGCATGCAGTGCGTCACGTGCATGCAGTGCGTCACGGTGTGCAGTGCGTCACGTGGTGCAGTACGTACCGTGCGTGTGCAGCGTGGCGCGGGCCAGTAGCCTCACGGCGCGCACGGCAGCGCGGCAGTTGTGCGGCGTCACGTGCGCCACATCTCGCACCACCAGCGCCAAAGCCTCTGCACACCGAGCTAACGCCGAGCTCCGGTGAGCGCGCAGTTTCACATTTTCTATATCCGAGTTCCATAGCGCACCGATGCCATCACCGCCAGTACCAGTCTCTTTTTTTACCTGTAGCAACGACAGCGACACGGAATTGTAAAAGTGATGTAACGGTGCATGTGAATGCACCCTACGAATACTTATAACTAATTAATCCTAAATAAATAATACTATAGATATAATATTAAATAAATAATAGTAATATAATATTCTAATCTAAAAATAAAAAGTAACAAATTATTACATATTGTTAATTTAAAATAGTTATTCTACGGAATCATAGACTAGTTAATTTAATCCGCGCAGCGTGAACCATTTTGCTCAACGATCTCCAAAACAAAAGACTCGGTAGGATTCGGACAAGACGACGAGTCCCCGTTCGGGCCATTCCTCTTTCATTTCTACCTGAGACTGCTTCAAGTTCGCAACGCGCGTGGCCCACAAAACGAAACTACTTTTATTTTTGTGTACGTACATTATATTTTCATAAATATATTGAGAGACTTAAGTTAATAATATATTAATTTCCTTAAATATTTATCAGAGCGACTCTTTAGGTTTTAAATCATAGATTGCTCTTATGGCTCTCTTCTGTAAAACAAATATAATTTCAGTCAGTCGCGTTTCCCCTTAGCAAAATACCATACGACATTATGCTATGGAAATAGCTAAAATAAACAATTCTAGCTGTTTCCACACTGGTAAGATTTCTAATCTTTTAACAGCATATGCTGTCTGCTTGCTAATTTTGATATATGGGGCTCCATTGAAGCTTCGAGTCTAGTGTTATTCCAAGAAAATGGTGATATCGACAAGACTCAGTTCCTCCCCATTTAATATTACATTATTATTTAAATGTTTGACATTTGGAGTCATGAATTACATACATTTCGTTATAGTGCCTGTTACGGCTCACAGCTGCCCCTGCAAAGGTCATCTTGGCTAGAGCCCATAGTAGCCTCTTCGACGGGCAGCCGAGGGTTCGGGCCCAAATGGCCTTATGGAAAAATGATGGAGAAGGCTAGGAAAATAATTGGTACGTACCTGTATCCGAATCTAAGAGCGCCCCAAGGCTCGGTCAGGTCGTAGGTAGAGTAGATGCATGTAAAGTGGTGTTTAGTGGTGTGTATATGTAGGTGACCTGGCCCAGCTAAGGTGACCTGGCAACGCGATGGTTTCCATGCTGCATCACTCCAGTAAACGTCCACAATGGACAGTTTCTTTCTTCATTGTCACTATTTCAGTCTATTAACTATATTGTACATTTAACTAACATCAACTCGCCTAATTCAACATTCATCGTAGAATCGAACACGTGATACCCGACACAGTAACGGACAGTAGTTCAAAGTTCAACATTCAATGTCCCGGATTCATTTTTCACCAAATTACAAATAGGGAACTAACGCGATCTCTTCATGAGTCACACGGTTCAGCGTTAAACACAACTAAGTTCCTTCATTCGATATTTAATCAGTCAAACACAATACAAGCCTCTTGTCAAGAACTTAAAACCTAGACAACCTAAACCGAGGCGGTTTTCACAAAACCCCAATTACGTAGCGAAGTAACACGCACTAAATCTAACAATCTAGACCATACACCGGTCGCGCGAAACTTCTGTAGCGATAACCGAGATACGCGGATTAACCGCATCGCTGCCAGCGAACTACTATTCGACTCGACCCAGCTGCCGGTAGCAATCAACTCCCGCCAACCGCCCACTCGTCTAACCAGTTATGAACGCGCTGTATCGGGCCGAGCGCCCTCTGGCGTCAGATCTTGAAACCAGCGTTTGGGCGCAAACAGTACCATTTAAATGCAAGTTACTAACATTAAACCAATTTACTAATTTAGATATAGCATTATTTACTTCGTAATTTTTTAATAATTGTCATTTTAATTTGAAAATTAATGAAGAGTCATCAGCAAATAATACTATATAAGGTTATCCCCTACTATGTAAGGTAAGTCATTAATATATACAAGAAACAGAAAGGGGCCGAGAATTGAGCCTTGAGCGATTATTATCGACCCGAAAGAGCTCATACTATTAATGACAACTTTTTGCGTTCTGTTACTTAAATATGAAACAATTGATGTAAGAGCATTACTTCTTTCACCGTAGTGTTGTATTTTCCTGATTAATGTTTCACGGTGAACACAATCGAAGGCTTTGGATAGGTCACCGAATATACCCAAAGCATCCTGTGAATTCTCCCATGCATTGAAAGGATATTTAATTAGCACAACACATCAGTTGTCGAGCTACCCCTTGTGAAACCGAATTAATTTTTACGAAGTAAATTATTTACATTAAAAAATTTTTTTTGATAAAGAATAATTTTTCAAAAATTTTACAAGTGTTGGCAGTACAGAAATTGGTCTAAAATTGGCGGGGTCTAATGTACTACCACATTTAAATAAAGTTATACTTTACTATGCTTCATTAAATCAGGAAACACACCATATTCGATACTAGTATTAAAAATAATAGCTAGTTGAAGCGCGATTATTTCTATTATAGACGCAATAACTTTAACGGAAATCCTCCACAGATCTGCAATTTTCTTAATATCAATAGTTTTAAAATATTTTATAATATCTTTTGATGATATTTTATGAAATGTAAAATTCTTTGTACACGCATTTACATTTTGTTCAAGGAATGATTCGGCGACGGCAGGAGAAGAATTCAGTGACTTAGTGGTTAAGATCGGAATATCAGTAAAATATTTCTCAAAAACCGGTAGTTTGAATTGCGAGAGTTGACCTTACCAATTTCACTATTACTTATACTATAGATATTTTTTAAACAATTAAAAAAACTTTGTACTTAATTACTTATTCGTTAAGATATAGATTTTGTAAGTCTTTAGTAAGAACTATCATAATATTTAATCAATTTCACCTTTAACATCTATCTAATATTCTACATACTGTCTTCTAGTTTTATTTAAATTTGTTTTGATTTTGTAATACTTAACTCACCAAAATCCAGCCCTGTGTTTGTGGGGAATGTGAAAGCTCACTTTCCGATGAGACACTAGTTGGCCGCCTTTCGATCTCGTCGTCAGAGCCTTCCGAACGACTAGAAGCTGAAACAAATGATAGACTTGTAATTCCGAAGCATTTTAAGTTATAAATTTTGTTTGGAAAGATACAATAGTGAGATAGGAAAGGTGTCGATTATATTCGAGGTAAAAACTAAAAACAATCATATAACTTTCATAAATTAATGCAGTTGAAAGACCGCCGCACTCTGGTGCAGATTTTGTTCCTAAACGTTATCTGCAGCAAATAAAATTGTTAGCCCCGAATTCATTTCCTAAGCGTTACATCATCATTATTACAGCCTTTCATAAGTCCACTGCTGAACATAGGCCTCCCCCAAGGAATGCCACAAAGCACGGTCCTAAGCCACCTGCATCCATCGACTTCCTGCATGTCTTACCAGGTCGTCACCCCATCTCGTGGGGGGTCGCCCTACACTTCGCCTACCGGTACGAGACTGCCACTCGAGAACCTTTCTTCCCCGGTTGTCGGTTCTTCGAGCTATATGACCGGCCCACTGCCACTTCAGCTTACTAATCCGTTGGACTATGTCGGTTACTCTGGTTCTACTGCGGATATACTCATTCCTAAGTTTATCACGCAGAGAAACTCCGAGCATAGCCCTCTCCATAGCTCGCTGAGCGACCTTGAGCTTCCTCATACGGCCGGCAGTGAAGGATCACGTCTCAGTTCCGTAAGTGATCACTGACAACACGCACTGGTTGTACAATTTCGTGTTAAGGTTTTAAGGTATGTCTAAGCGTTACAATTAATTTCTATTTAATACTTTATTTCCTTCAAGTCACTCAAATTAAACTCAGAACTGTAATATTTCGCATACTTAAAAGCTATAAATTTTCTTCGACTGACATCTTCCACCAAAGCAAATCAATATTTAAAAAAGAAATTATTTTATCATTAAGAGATAATAGCACACATACACACACGCATTGCATGCACGCATAACGCGTGTTCAAGAATCACGCTCAATAACTCTGTGATGTATTTGATGTTTCTGTAATAATAATTTTATTTGATTATTTTTCCATCTCAAATTATTGCCCCTCTTTTGTTTATACTACTTAGATAACCTGTAAATATCTAAGCGCTATGTAATTCATTTGTTAGCTATACCAAGCGATATATGTATAAAAAGTATAAACATGTTATTGGCACTGACAGAAAAAAGTAGCAGAACAGGCTTAATTCAAACTGGTATTAAGGGAAGTTTCTGTCAGGATGTCTCTGTGACGTATCGTAAGATAAAATCTTTTACCAGTGTTTCGAATCTGTAGTCACTCATGTTGTAGAATGTGCATTCAGTATCTATTTCCGATAGGGTTACTTCTCTTATAGTGAGCGATGGAAAGAGCTATGTACAAGGTTTAAGGTAGAAGGTTGTGGTAGTGTAAAGTTAGTGGTATGATGATGCTGGAGGTTGTGGTTAGAATGGTGTGTTGCTTGTTGGATGATTATGGTGGTAACGGTGGGGATAGGCTGATAATTGTGGTGATGAATGTAGTAGTGGTGTGACGCTATTGTAATGAGGGTGATGATATGATAGCAGCGGTGATTGTATAAGTAGCGAATTCGGTTGTGGTATGATGACTATGGTAGGTGAGTGGTGGTGCGCTCACAGCTGTGCGGGCGCGGGGCGGCGGGCGGCCAGGCGCCGGCGCCGGCGGCCGCCAGCAGCGCCAGCAGCAGCTCCCACTCCTCGCCGCTGTGCACGTTCTGCGCGGACGTCTTCACTAGCTCGTACAGCCCGCACGATATCTGCACAAGCGCTACCACGTCACACCACTCACAATCGTATAATTCAAATAAATATTCACGATATTCGCACAAAAACAACTGAATATACTCTGATGTTCTGTTATTAGCCTCTTAATACTCAGTATTTATTTGCATTCCATAATGTACACATTAATAAATATTAAATTATCGCAATATGAACCCTGTCGGGTATAGCAAATTAGAACAGAGAAGCGCGCAAAAATGTTTTATTATTCATTATTATCATTATTATATCATTATTATTATTATATCATTCATTATTATTATTTATTATATGATCATTATTCATTCATTTATTTATAGTATTCATTATTATTATTTCAATTGTCATTATGGTATTTATATAAAGTATAATAAGATTAGAAAATTGTCTTATATAAATATTATCATTTCTTTCGTTTTTAGAGTTTGGCAGTTGTTAGTTGTCATTTTTATTTCACATATAAGAAATATACATCATTATCATCATTATCATCATTACAGCCCTTCACAAGTCCACTGCTGAACATAGGCCTCCCCCAAAGAATGCCACAAAACACGGTCCTGAGCCACCTGCATCCATCGACTTCCTGCATGTCTTACCAGGTCGTCACTCCATCTCGTGGGGGGACGCCCTACACTTCGCCTACCGGTACGAGGCTGCCACTCGAGAACCTTTCTTCCCCATCGGTTGTCGGTTCTTCGAGCTATATGGCCGGCCCACTGCCACTTCAGCTTACTAATCCGTTGGGCTATGTCGGTCACTCTGGTTCTACTGCGGATATCCTCATTCCTAAGTTTATCACGCAGAGAAACTCCGAGCATAGCCCTCTCCATAGCTCGCTGAGCGACCTTGAGCTTCCTCATACGGCCAGCAGTGAAGGACCACGTCTCAGTTCCGTAAGTCATCACTGGCAACACGCACTGGTTGTACAATTTCGTTTTAAGGTTTTGAGGTATGTCTGACGAGAAGATGTGTCGTAGCTTCCCGAACGCTGCCCAGCCGAGTTGAATCCGTCGATTGACCTCTCGGTCGAAGTTGGACATACCCAGTCGGACTATTTGTCCCAGGTAAACATACTCGTCAACAACTTCGAGCTTAGTGTTCCCAATAACTATCGGCATAGGTGTGACATGGACATTAAACATGATCTTAGTTTTGTCCATGTTCATCTTAAGACCTATCCGTTGGGAAACACTATTGAGGTCATTGAGCATAGTGCTTAGGTCCTCCAGCGATTCTGCCATAAGGACTATATCGTCGGCAAATCGAAGGTGAGTGATGTACTCGCCATTGATGTTGATACCGTATCCTTTCCAGTCCAGAAGCTTGAAAACGTCTTCCAATGCAGCGGTGAAGAGTTTCGGGGATATGACGTCACCCTGTCTTACACCTCTCTGCAATTGGATAGGTTTCGTACTCTGGTTCTGTACTCGGATAGCCATCGTAGCCCTACTGTACAAGTACTTCAACACTTCGATATACCGACAGTCAACTTGGCACCGCTGAAGGGACTGCAGCACCGCCCAAATTTCGACGGAATCAAAGGCTTTCTCATAGTCCACATACGCCAGACATAGTGGCAAATTGTACTCTTCGGACTTCTGTACAACTTGCCGAAGGGTATGTATGTGGTCTATGGTGCTAAAGCCTTTTCGGAAACCGGCTTGTTCGGGAGGCTGGAAGTCGTCAAGTCTGCGCGCGAGACGATTCGTAATGACTCTCGAAAACAGCACGTAGACGCGGCTCAGAAGGGAAATCGGTCTGTAGTTCTTCAAGAGAGCGTTGTCACCTTTCTTGAAGAACAAGACCACCGCACTTCTGCTCCACGCCTCCGGTGTAATGCCACCATGGAGGACGGAATTAAAGAGCTTCTGAAGGACTTCAAGTACCGGTCTTCCACCCGCTTTCAGAAGCTCCGCTGTAATTCCATCCTCGCCTGGGGCCTTACCGTTTTTAAGGTGCTGGAGAGCCATCCTAATCTCGCTCAGACTGACATCCGGGATATCTTCGGAATAGTGTCGGATGAGACTCGCTCTTGGATCGTTACTCACACTTTCGTGTGGCTCCAACGATGATGTGTACAGCTGCCCATAGAACCTCTCAATCGCACTCAAAATCTCAGGTGTCCCGGAAACGATGCTGCCACATTCTGTCTTCAGCTTTGACAGTTGGCTCTTTCTGGCAGACAGATCTCTGGCAAAGACTTTGGAGCCTTGGTTCCGCTCGATCGCTTCTTCAATACGAGCTGTATTGAAGTTGCGTAAGTCCCGCCGCATGCATTTGGAGATCTGTCTGTTCAGATGCCTGTATGCTGTCAAGTCTGTTGAAGAATGTAGCTTCATCTCCCGTCTAAAAGCCATGAGATTAAGAGTGTGATCGGAGAGTTTTTGTGTTCTTCTGCGGCGGGTCTTGCAGAACTTAGCTCCAACCGCATGGACAGTTTCCACGAGCTTGTCATTCATATCGTCCACTTCATTGCAGTCTTCTAGGCACTGAAAACGGTTTTGTAACTCGAGCTGAAAGGTTTCGGGACTTTGAAACAGAGCACGAGGGGGACGGAGCGTTGACTTCATTAGACGAGACCTCTCCAACTTAACGTTTAGGTTCAGTGTGCCTCTAACCATTCGGTGATCGCTACCAGTTTTCACCCTCGCGATCACGGAGACATCACTGAACAGTTGTCGTCTGGTCGTCATAATGAAGTCAATCTCATTTTTTGTGGAACCGTCGGGGCTCGACCAGGTCCACTTCCTGTGGGGCCGCTTCTGGAAGAAAGAGTTCATCATAAAGAGTCCCTCTTTCTCCATGAAGTCGGCCAGCTGCTGGCCCCTTGGGTTCCGTTGCCCTATTCCAAATTTCCCTACTTTCAGCTCACCGTTCTCTCTTGTGCCTAGTTTTGCATTGAAGTCTCCCATTAACACCGTATATTGGGTTTTGGAGGAATGCATGGCTCTAGAGATATCCTCATACATTTCCTCCACCTCCTCATCGGGGTGTGCCGAGGTTGGTGCGTAAACCTGTATGACCTTCAGCGAATACCGTTTGGTGATTCTGAGTATAAGGTACGCAACCCTCGTCGACACACTCTCAATCTTTACAACGTTGTTAACGAGAGACTTGTGGACGATAAATCCGACACCTCCTTGGGACAGATGGTCGCCCTCCCGGTGATAGAGCAAGTTGCCGGATTCGAGGATTACCGTGTCCTCCCCCTCTCTTCGGACTTCGGATAATCCTATAATATGCCAGCGTAACTTGTCTATCTCTTCTTCCAGCTCCACAATCTTCTCGTCAGTCCTCAGGGTGCGTGCGTTGTACGTTGCCAGGTCGAGTCGTCTAAGGTTGTATTTTTGTAAGAAAAAATAATTTTAATCGGTAATAATTGGTTTAACTATATGATTATCGTATGGTTAGCAGCAGGTAAAAATGAAAACTTAAGAAGTGTGAGTGTATACTCACGACGTCGGGCTGCTGGTAGAAGAGCTTGTAGGGCAGGCGGAAGAGCAGCGCGAGGTGGTGCAGCACTTGCGCGGCGCACAGCTCGCAGCGCATGAGGCGCGCGGACGTGCGCAGCAGCGCGCTGATGACAACTGGAGATGGAGGGTGGGTGGGTGTATACTCACGACGTCGGCCTGCTGGTAGAAGAGCTTGTAGGGCAGGCGGAAGAGCAGCGCGAGGTGGTGCAGCACTTGCGCGGCGCACAGCTCGCAGCGCATGAGGCGCGCGGACGTGCGCAGCAGCGCGCTGATGACAACTGGAGATGGAGGGTGGGTGGGTGTATACTCACGACGTCGGCCTGCTGGTAGAAGAGCTTGTAGGGCAGGCGGAAGAGCAGCGCGAGGTGGTGCAGCACTTGCGCGGCGCACAGCTCGCAGCGCATGAGGCGCGCGGACGTGCGCAGCAGCGCGCTGATGACAACTGGAGATGGAGGGTGGGTGGGTGTATACTCACGACGTCGGCCTGCTGGTAGAAGAGCTTGTAGGGCAGGCGGAAGAGCAGCGCGAGGTGGTGCAGCACTTGCGCGGCGCACAGCTCGCAGCGCATGAGGCGCGCGGACGTGCGCAGCAGCGCGCTGATGACAACTGGAGATGGAGGGTGGGTGGGTGTATACTCACGACGTCGGCCTGCTGGTAGAAGAGCTTGTAGGGCAGGCGGAAGAGCAGCGCGAGGTGGTGCAGCACTTGCGCGGCGCACAGCTCGCAGCGCATGAGGCGCGCGGACGTGCGCAGCAGCGCGCTGATGACAACTGGAGATGGAGGGTGGGTGGGTGTATACTCACGACGTCGGCCTGCTGGTAGAAGAGCTTGTAGGGCAGGCGGAAGAGCAGCGCGAGGTGGTGCAGCACTTGCGCGGCGCACAGCTCGCAGCGCATGAGGCGCGCGGACGTGCGCAGCAGCGCGCTGATGACAACTGGAGATGGAGGGTGGGTGGGTGTATACTCACGACGTCGGCCTGCTGGTAGAAGAGCTTGTAGGGCAGGCGGAAGAGCAGCGCGAGGTGGTGCAGCACTTGCGCGGCGCACAGCTCGCAGCGCATGAGGCGCGCGGACGTGCGCAGCAGCGCGCTGATGACAACTGGAGATGGAGGGTGGGTGGGTGTATACTCACGACGTCGGCCTGCTGGTAGAAGAGCTTGTAGGGCAGGCGGAAGAGCAGCGCGAGGTGGTGCAGCACTTGCGCGGCGCACAGCTCGCAGCGCATGAGGCGCGCGGACGTGCGCAGCAGCGCGCTGATGACAACTGGAGATGGAGGGTGGGTGGGTGTATACTCACGACGTCGGCCTGCTGGTAGAAGAGCTTGTAGGGCAGGCGGAAGAGCAGCGCGAGGTGGTGCAGCACTTGCGCGGCGCACAGCTCGCAGCGCATGAGGCGCGCGGACGTGCGCAGCAGCGCGCTGATGACAACTGGAGATGGAGGGTGGGTGGGTGTATACTCACGACGTCGGCCTGCTGGTAGAAGAGCTTGTAGGGCAGGCGGAAGAGCAGCGCGAGGTGGTGCAGCACTTGCGCGGCGCACAGCTCGCAGCGCATGAGGCGCGCGGACGTGCGCAGCAGCGCGCTGATGACAACTGGAGATGGAGGGTGGGTGGGTGTATACTCACGACGTCGGCCTGCTGGTAGAAGAGCTTGTAGGGCAGGCGGAAGAGCAGCGCGAGGTGGTGCAGCACTTGCGCGGCGCACAGCTCGCAGCGCATGAGGCGCGCGGACGTGCGCAGCAGCGCGCTGATGACAACTGGAGATGGAGGGTGGGTGGGTGTATACTCACGACGTCGGCCTGCTGGTAGAAGAGCTTGTAGGGCAGGCGGAAGAGCAGCGCGAGGTGGTGCAGCACTTGCGCGGCGCACAGCTCGCAGCGCATGAGGCGCGCGGACGTGCGCAGCAGCGCGCTGATGACAACTGGAGATGGAGGGTGGGTGGGTGTATACTCACGACGTCGGCCTGCTGGTAGAAGAGCTTGTAGGGCAGGCGGAAGAGCAGCGCGAGGTGGTGCAGCACTTGCGCGGCGCACAGCTCGCAGCGCATGAGGCGCGCGGACGTGCGCAGCAGCGCGCTGATGACAACTGGAGATGGAGGGTGGGTGGGTGTATACTCACGACGTCGGCCTGCTGGTAGAAGAGCTTGTAGGGCAGGCGGAAGAGCAGCGCGAGGTGGTGCAGCACTTGCGCGGCGCACAGCTCGCAGCGCATGAGGCGCGCGGACGTGCGCAGCAGCGCGCTGATGACAACTGGAGATGGAGGGTGGGTGGGTGTATACTCACGACGTCGGCCTGCTGGTAGAAGAGCTTGTAGGGCAGGCGGAAGAGCAGCGCGAGGTGGTGCAGCACTTGCGCGGCGCACAGCTCGCAGCGCATGAGGCGCGCGGACGTGCGCAGCAGCGCGCTGATGACAACTGGAGATGGAGGGTGGGTGGGTGTATACTCACGACGTCGGCCTGCTGGTAGAAGAGCTTGTAGGGCAGGCGGAAGAGCAGCGCGAGGTGGTGCAGCACTTGCGCGGCGCACAGCTCGCAGCGCATGAGGCGCGCGGACGTGCGCAGCAGCGCGCTGATGACAACTGGAGATGGAGGGTGGGTGGGTGTATACTCACGACGTCGGCCTGCTGGTAGAAGAGCTTGTAGGGCAGGCGGAAGAGCAGCGCGAGGTGGTGCAGCACTTGCGCGGCGCACAGCTCGCAGCGCATGAGGCGCGCGGACGTGCGCAGCAGCGCGCTGATGACAACTGGAGATGGAGGGTGGGTGGGTGTATACTCACGACGTCGGCCTGCTGGTAGAAGAGCTTGTAGGGCAGGCGGAAGAGCAGCGCGAGGTGGTGCAGCACTTGCGCGGCGCACAGCTCGCAGCGCATGAGGCGCGCGGACGTGCGCAGCAGCGCGCTGAGCGCGCGCGTCAGCACGCCGGGCCCGCGCGCGCACGCCCACGTCACCACGCGCTCCAAGTGCGCGCTCGCCTCCGCCCACACCGACGTCACGCGGTCCCTGCACACACGTCCCACGTTTACTCATCATCAAACACTTCATGTACACTACTAGACGGACTCTGCGGCCTTAATATATATCGCACTAAATTACTGTCAAATCTCCGTAACTACTTTAGTCGACTGCATGCGGCCGAGAAAACAGATTCTTTGTTTTGTAAAACCGCGAATGTTGTTTTCAACATCTAACACTGACTTTGTTTAAATATGACTGAGAAAACGCTCCTCTACTATTCTTGCCTATTTTTACCACCAAATAGCAGTGATTGTACTGCTATGTTCCAATCTGAATGATATAGAGATCCTGTATAATTATAAGTTGTAGAAATTCAATTTTAGTCCTTAGAAATGACAAGACCCTCTAATCCCAACAAAGAAAAGGTCTCGAAACACCGGAGCCCTTCTTCGATGTGGCAAAGGCATTTGGTAAGGTCTGACAGAACGGTTTGCTTTACAAGCTGTATAAACTTAACGTGCCCGATTGGCTCGTACACATAATCCGAATCTTCCTTACAAATCGCTCCTTTCGTTATCGAATAGAGGGAATCCATTCCACGAAACGTTTTCTAAAGGCCGGGGTCCCACAAGGCTCCAACTTGTCTCCACTCCTCTTCACACTCTTCACGAGTGATATTCCAAAGAACCCAGTTGTGAACACTACTCTCTTCGCCGATGTCTCACTTCGAAACTCTAAAAGTTACCAATCGCTTAGGCGAATGGTTCCGCCTATAGAGAATCGAAGTGACACCCGAAAAGAGTATAGCAATATACTTTCAACGAAATTCAACGCCAAAAAAGATTTGAAGACCAAACGCAAAGGTAGATATCATTTCTTTATACGGCCGCCCCATCGCTTGGGTAGATTCGGCAAAATATCTGGGCGTCACGATCGACGTCCGCATGAGTTTCACGCGCGCTCAACCTGTACAGAACCTGCGTTAGACCTATCGTATCTTACGCAAGTGTAGCTTTCGCGCACATGTATAGGACCCACCTACAAGAACTACAGAAAATCCAAAACTTTTACATCCGTAATGCCACCGGAGCACAGTGGTAACAACGGAACTCAGATTTGCACAATGATTGTCAACTTTTCTCTATTTCCGAATACTTCAAGATATGTCAGCGCTACTTTGATAGCGCAGCGGCAAACGCAGCCAACTACGTCTCAATACCAAACGTCGCGCGGACTCTCCGTAGACCGGGTAATGTACTTATAGAACAACCACACTCGCTCGATCCCGTCGACCCAAACGTCGCAGGCACATCCAACATTGACACTACACTACACCACATCAAACGGGACAAGCACAAGTAGGATAACGGATAGGTGCGCGCCGCACCCGTCGGCGGGAACTGAATTGATGAGAATGAAAAATGATCAAATAAGGTAAAAATGCTGATGTGCACAAATGTGCGGTTTAAAACCGTCCAAGCTGCGAGGCGAGAGAGAGAACAGACGCTGATTGATAGGTAATTACAAAATGATACCAGTTGATAATGATCATGATACTACAAAAAATAGCTTATAAATTTCAATTGAAAAACTTATCACACCTCACTACACTGCACTAAGATCACTAAAACGTTTGCAAACTGTAGGCGACGTCGACTTATCCAGTGCTCGTACACTCAGTTCACCCGATGACGTAATGACGATACTGCGGGGCTCGACCGATGGAGCTTGTTCTGTGTTAGGGCTCGTGCCAGTGAACTGTACATTCAAGCCAAGTGATCTTTCGCTTTGAGAGGGCGCTTGTATACATGCGGTGCATCTGCGGCATAGGCTCCGCAAAGCAAACAATGCTGATGCTAGTATAGCTGCTGCCAGCAGAAGATAAATAACCACATATTGATATAGATCTTGGTTTGATAACTGATCTCCCAACTCTGTGTCAGTGTCACTTGTGTTCAGCTTCAGCAAGTGTTTTCGATTCTCCTCATTTTCTGACTCGTCGAATTTCTCGAGCCTTTGGAGAGGAATTGATAGCTTGATGACATCATTGATTGGAGGTATGTCTATATTTGCAAGGGTGGGCTTGATATTATCATTAGTGACCTGCTTTCTGCGTGAAAATATTGTCAATGTTTCACTTTTAATAAAACAGCCGTCCTCGAGAATGATAATACCGGCCTTGTGCTCTAACATGATACTCGGATATTATTCTTATTGTCCTTTGATTACAGCAAAAGTACAGGTACGTATTTAGTTTGTTAAGTTCAACCCATATATCTTTGCAGGGCGAAGTTTTAATTTCACACAGATCTGTGTCTTTATTTTTGATGCAGATAATATCGTCCAAATTCATATGAAAAATAGGTTTCTGTAGCTGGCAAAGGTGAGTCTCAGCGTCGAACTGTGTACATCTTCGAACTTCTTCTGATAATGGTACGTTATACAGCTCTTTTGGATGTTGATCGCAATATGATCTGCGATAGGTGTGATGCGGACGGACCATCTGTTTTTGTACTTCAGCTTACTAATCCGTTGGGCTATGTCGGTCACTCTGGTTCTACTGCGGATATCCTCATTTCTGAGTTTATCACGCAGAGAAACTCCGAGCATAGCCCTCTCCATAGCTCGCTGAGCGACTTTGAGCTTCCTCATCCGACCAGCAGTGAAGGACCACGTCTCAGTTCCGTATGTCATCACTGGCAACACGCACTGGGTGTACAGTCTCGTTTTAAAGTTTTGAGGTATACCTGACGAGAAGATGTGCCGTAATTTTCCGAACGCTGCCCAACAGAGTTGAATCCGTCGATTGACCTCTCGGTCGAAGTTGGACTTACCTAGTCGGACTACAAGCACCGCCCAAATTTCGACGGAATCAAAGGCTTTCTCATAGTCCACATACGCCAGACATAGTGGCAAATTGTACTCCTCGGACTTTTGTACAATTTGCCGAAGGGTATGTATGTGGTCTATGGTGCTAAAGCCTTTTTGGAAACCGGCTTGTTCGGGAGGCTGGAAGTCGTCAAGTCTGCGCGCGAGACGATTCGTAATGACTCTCGAAAACAGCACGTAGACGCGGCTCAGAAGGGAAATCGTTCTGTAGAGTTCTTCAAGAGAGCGTTGTCGCCTTTCTTGAAGAACAAGACCACCGCACTTCTGCTCCACGCCTCCGGTGTAATGCCACCAGACGGAATTAAAGAGCTTCTGAAGGACTTCAAGTACCGGTTTTCCACCCACTTTCAGAAGCTCCGCTGTAATTCCACCCTCGCCTGGGGCCTTGCCGTTTTTAAGGTGCTGGAGAGCCATTCTAATCTCGCTCAGACTGACGTCCGGGATATCATCGTAATAATGTCGGATAAGACTCGCTCTTGAATCGTTACTCACACTTGCGTGCGGCTCCAACGATGACGTGTACAGCTGCCCATAGAACCTCTCAAACTCACTCAAAATCTCAGGTGCCCCGGACGCGATGCTACCACATTCGGTCTTCAGCTTTGACAGTTGGCTCTTTCTGGCAGACAGATCTCTGGCAAAGACTTTGGAGCCTTGGTTCCGCTCGATCGCTTCTTCAATACGAGCTGTATTGAAGTTGCGTATCCCGCCGCATGCATTTGGAGATCTGTCTGTTCAGTTGCCTGTATGCTGTCAAATCTGTTGAAGAACGTAGCTTCATCTCCCGTCTAACAGCCATGAGATTAAGAGTGTGATCGGAGAGTTTTTGTGTTCCTCTGCGGCGGGTCTTGCAGAACTTAGCTCCGACCGCATGGACAGTTTCCACGAGCTTGTCATTCATATCGTCCACTTCATTGCAGTCTTCTAGGCACTAAAAACGGTTTTGTAGCTCGAGCTGAAAGGTTTCGGGACTTTGGATTAGAGCACGAGGGGGACGGAGCGTTGACTTCATTAGACGAGACCTCTCCAACTTAACGTTTAGGTTCAGTGTGCCTCTATCCATTCGGTGATCGCTGCCGGTTTTCACCCTCGCGATCACTGAGACATTACTGAACAGTTGTCGTCTGGTCGTCATAATGAAGTCAATCTCATTTTTTGTCGAAACGTCGGGGCTCGACCAGGTCCACTTCCTGTGGGGCCGCTTCTGGAAGAAAGAGTTCATCATAAAGAGTCCCTCTTTCTCCATGAAGTCGGCCAGCTGCTGGGCCCTTGGGTTCCGTTGCCCTATTCCAAATTTCCCCACCTTCAGCTCACCGTTCTCTCTTGTGCCTAGTTTTGCATTGAAATATTTTTTTTTCATTGCATTAAAATTCACTACTGAAATAAAATACCCGGATTCAAATCTTAACTAAGGTTGATATTTGTAACACACACAAATTATATAATATGTTTTCAGTATTTACAAAACACACACAAATTATATATTTATAAAAGCATCTTTCTTATAAGTTCATTCGATATATCTCTAAAGTAGAAAAATAAATTAACAGACGACATAGGTCCAACAGATGAGTATTGGCATCCCATTTCTAATAGTGTTTTGATGGATTTTAAATATAATCTATTTTGATTACTAAATTTTATTTCATTTTATATCTCAGGCATATACGTTTTCTCATGACGTTTTCCTTCACCATCTAAGATGTGATAAATTAGCACTTTGAACAGTAATCAACAATTTCTGTAGTACCAAAAGTCGAACTATGTTTTACTACTGGGTATCAAACTTTAAGATGAGCGCTAGTTGGCTGAGCCAATTGTTACATTGGCTAGAAAGCTCGTCTCTCATCAGATTTTATTACGGTTAGAAAGTATCTTTAATGCTAAACTTTTGGTAACATGAAACCAAGAGGCAAAAATTAGCAAACATATTCTGTTGAGAGATACTTGTAAACGTGCACATATAAATATTAACATACCTAAAAGACATAGACATAGACCTAGACATGCATTTATTCAGCAACTTACACTCGTACAGTTCTGATACAGAAAATAAAATGATACATAAAAACATCAAAGATAAAAAGTAAATAAGAAAAAACAGACATAAAATGATCCGATTGCATGAGTGATGTGGTGCTGAAAAGGGCACTGACTCAACATAATGCTATCACAGCATTACGGTAGCATTGGTTTTCAGCAATGCACATTGAGGTTGGACTCGCCCAACGTAAAAAAAAAGGGCAGTTACATTAAACACATCAAAGATACAACATTAAATCAATCAATTTAAGAATCGTGACACTAATATTTATTTTTTCGAGCTACTTGTTTCATAATATCAATCTACATTTAACATAACTAACCGATTTTGTATAAGTGTCTTTCCTAGAAGTTCCAAAAAGAATATTGTGATGTCTTCTAACTGAGGGTTCAGTTGCAGACTATCAGCATCCGGCGGAGTTCCCACAGCCACCATAGCACGAACTAGTTCCTACAAACAAAAAATATTAATTTAAAAAGAGTGTGCAAAAACATATAAAAATAAATATATATTTTATTATATAAGAAGCAAAATGATAAAATATATCGGTTTTTGTTCTGAAACAAAAAAATTATAAAGAAGACATTTTTGAAAAATTATTTTTTAACAGCTTTATAAAAAATATGTCGTAAAAAGTTTTATGACACACATTGCAAATATAGTTCATACATTAGGCTCGAGAGACCAAAACTCTCCGGGTTGTTTTTAATCACAACATCAACTGCGCAGGACTTATATGGTTAATCAACAGAATATGGTTAATCAACAGCGGCACTTCCTCCCGTTGCACCTCACGAACATCAAAGGGTTGCTCATCATCATCATTACAGCTCTTCACAAGTCCACTGCTGAACATAGACCTCCGTCAAGGAATGCGACAAAGCCCGTGCATCAGGACCGTTGCTGAGCTACCTGCATATCTTACCAGGTCGTCACTCCATCTAGTGGAGGGCGCCCTACACTTCGTCCGCCGATACGAGGCTGGCACTCGAGAACTTTTATTCCCCATCGGTTGTCGGTTCTTCGCGCTATATGGCCGGCCCATTGCCTCTTCACCTTACTAATCCTTTGGGCTATGTCGGTAACTCTGGTTCTACTGCGGATATCCTCATTTCTAAGTCTATCACGCAGAGAAACCCTGAGAATAGCCCTCTCCATAGCTCACTGAGCAACCTTGAGCTTCCTCATACGGCCAGCATGAAGGACCACGTCTCATAGGTCATCATCACTGGCTACACGCACTGGTTGTACAATCTAGTTTTCAAGTTTTGAGGTATACCTGACGAGATGTGTCGTAATCTCCCGAACGCTGCCCAGCCGAGTTGAATCCGTCAATTGACCTCTCGGTCGAAGTTGGACTTACCTAGTCGGACTATTTGTCCCAGGTAAACATATTCGTCAACAACTTCGAGCTTAGTGTTCCCAACCACTACCGGCATATGTATGACATGGATGTTAAACATGATTTTTGTTTTGTCCATGTTCATCTTAAGACCTATCCGTTGGGAGACACTATTGAGGTCATTGAGCATAGTGCTTAGGTCCTCCAGCAATTCTGCCATAAGGACTATATCGTCGGCAAATCGAAGGTGAGTGATGTACTCGCCATTGACGTTAATACCGTATCCTTTCCAGTCCAGTAGCTTGAAAACGTCTTCCAATGCAGCGGTGAAGTTTCGAGGAAATAACGTCACCCTGTCTTACACCTCTCTGCAGTTGGATAGGTTTCGTACTCTGGTTCTGTACTCGGATAGCCATCGTAGTCCTAATGTACAAACACTTCAGCACTTCGATATACCGACAGTCAACTTGGCACCGCCAAAGGGATTGCAGCACCGCCCAAATTTCGACGGAATCAAAAGCTTTCTCATAGTCCACATACGCCAGACAAAGTGGCAGATTGTACTCCTCGGACTTCTGTACAATTTGCCGAAGGGTATGTATGTGGTCTATGGTGCTAAAGACTTTTCGGAAACCTCTTGTTCGGGAGGCTGTAAATCGTCGAGTCTGCGTGCGAGACGAGTCATGACACTCGAAAACAGCACGTAGACGCGGCTTAGACGGGTTGCTCACTAACCTCGATTCGGACCACCACAACCTCGAGACCGAGAAGCCGAACTTACCCTCAACCTTGCTGGGATCTATGTGTACGTCTGCGACGATATTTGCTGCTAGCGTCTCCGTTGCTTTGAGGGTTAGGGTTTTCTGCAATGTGGGTTTTGGTGGACACCGGTGTAGAGAAAACCCTCTATGCCTGTGTCTATCGATCGAACAGCGGAGACCAGGAGACGACCAGGCTCACTGAACACCTGACAGAGATGGCAGATAAAACACAACAACGGTATCCATCTGCGGAGCTAGTTTTTCTCGAAAATATTAACGCCCACCACAAAGAGTGTTTGTTCCCATATGAGAAAACCATCCATGCTAGGAGAGAGGCGCGCAAACTTGCTTTATCGCTAGATCCCACTCAGCTGGTTTAAGTGGCGACGCGGGTACCAGATGTAGCCGGACACCAATTGCTTGGACCTTTTGCTGACAACAGACCTAGACAGGCACTCGATATCTGCTCGATATAGCTCGATAGCTCCGTTGGGATCATCCGATCACTGTTTGGTGAAATCAGTATCGATCATCTCTCCTCCAGATGACTGTCCAGTGGGCAAGAGGATAGTATGGCAATACGAGTCAGCAGACTGGGATGAGATGAGGCACTTTTTTGCATCCTATCCATGGCGTACTTTTCTTCGGATGAAACCTCCTGCTCTACCGATGCGGTTGCTGATGTGATACGGCAGGGAAATAAATATTTTATTCCGTTCTTCGACATCCCGCTCGGTCAGAAGGCTCGGCCCTGGTATAATGCAGACTGTGCTCGTGCTGAGGCCCACAAAGAATCCACCTACCGGGCCTGGGTTCTAGCTCACAATCGTAAAGTTAGGGCTCGGAGGGTTCGTGCGAAGATGAGAGCTTTTAATTATGCTGCCAAGTCCTGCAAGCGGGCACGATTCGACCATGTCAGCCGTATAGGGGCCAGACTTGCTTCCTACCCTCCTGGTAGTAAGAAATTTTGGTTCCTGTCGAAGGCTGTCGAATTCAACTTCTGCCATCCCTCATTGCCTCCTGCAGAAACCTAATGAAACACTGGCACACTCCGCGATTAAGAAAGCAAATTTATTTGCATCTCCGTTTGCGAGCAATTCTTGTCTAGATGCTGGCTCTAAACAACCACCAACCTTACCTCGCTGTGACTCTTCGATGCCGAAGGTCACAACCCATACGAAAAAGGTACGTAGAGCTTTGCAAAACCTAGACATAAACAAGTCCAGTAGACCTCATGGTATTCCTGCAAGGGTACTAAGGCATTGTGCGCCAGAGTTGTTTTCTGTTTTGACGCGCCTTTACCGCCTCTCTCTTAAATCTCGAACGGTGCCCAAATCTTGGAAGCTTGCCAATGTGCAATAATTACAGGGATCGGCACGACTACCATTCTTGGGTACTGACCCAAGAAGGGTAGTCGTGCCGATTACTGTAATTATCGAGCAATCGCCATCACCTCCATACTCTGTAAAGTTATGGAAAGGGTATTCAACAGTAAGCTGCTGACATACCTTGAAAGAAATTACCTCCTCAGTGACCAACAATTGGCTTCTGCCGGGGACGGTCACCTGGGGATCTTTTTGTGTATGTCACACACTTCTGGGGCGAGCCCATCGAGAAGAACAGTGAAGCTTTAGCAGTTTCACTCGATATCTCGATGGCTTTTGACAGGGTTTGGCACGCAAGTCTGCTGAGTAAGCTTCCTGTTTACGGTATCTGAATCCCGCCGAATTTGGCAACTGGATATCTGACTTTCTGAGTGAACGGTCGGTCAGGGTAATCATATATGGCTGCTCTTCTGACCTAATACATATTAATGCCGGAGTTACTCAGGGTCTGTTCTCTCTGCGACTCTTTTCCTACTGCACATCAATGACCAGCACAGTCACAGAGAGATTCATGTCCAGTACAAAAGAGAGAGCGGCAGTAATACGTTTGTTTAGAGAGGCCATGGTGGAGTGGATAAATGCGACCTTAAGTCTTGTCTCGTAATGGGGTGATGACAATCTAGTCACATTTAACGCCGACAAAACGCAGGCCTATCTGTTCTTCGCAAAACGGAGTCCGTTTAATCTGACTCTTACTTTCCGTACATCTGTAGAATTTGCTGATCATCTTGAGCTTCTCGGCATACAGTTGAGTGCTAACCTCAACTTAGGCGAAAACATTGAGTCGAAAGCATAAACTGGCGGCCAAAAACGATATTTTAAATAAGGTATTTTAGTTAAGGGCATCTTAAATAAGGTGAAATGATACTTCAGGCCTGGACAGCTTCTAACTTTATACAAAGCTCAAGTCCAAATATGGATGGAGTGTTGTAGTCACCTTTGGGATGGCTCAGCAAATTATCAACTTGCCGCACTCGACTTAGTGCAACGCCGAGCCAAGAGGCATATCGGCGACAAAAAGCTGGTGGAATCTGAGTTTTACAGCTTAGCTCACCGCCGCCAAGTTACTTGTTTGTCGGTCTTCTACAGGTTGTACTTCGGAGAGCTTTATAAGCTCATACCGCCATCTCCATTCTCCTATCGGAATACCAGACGTACACACTTTGTTGATATTCCGAATATTCGTACTAAGCGCTATAAGTTATCTTTCATAATGCGCACAGCCAAGGAGTGGAATGCCCTGCCGGCGTCTTCCGAGTGGATATAACCTTAACCTCTTCAAGATGCGTGTTAACAGGCTTTTCCTGGGCAAACTCGCTCCATCGTAGACCTCATACTTGCCCTCGGGCTAGATGGAGGTCAAGAGTGAGCCTAGTTTAATAATAAAAAAGGGGTTCTGTCTCATTAAATTTTGACATATTTTTAAATTTCATGATCATGGAAATGAAGTGTTTGGCGTAATGATAACATAACTAAGCAAGGTTAACTTTGTCTTGTAATTATTAATTTCAAGTTGTGTATTTTTCATGTTAAAATAATTACAACTTTTATAAAATTATAAAATAAAGTGATTAGAACATACCTGCAGGCTCTCCAGCTGCAGAAATTTGGTCTCGGTGATGAGCAAGCCGGGGAAGTTACATTTCGCAACGCATTCTGTCGCCGCATCGATCAATACCTTTTCGTGAGGCGTCGGTGCTCTCATTCCTGTAACAGAATAGGTATGAATAATATTTTTTATGAACTGAAATAGAACTGATAGCTATTACATTAGAAATTAAAAAATGCAACGGTCGAAATCGACCACGATAACAATTTTCGAATATATCAGACGCATTTTAATTTTTACTAGCTTCCACTTTATATATAGCCAATATTCGTATGGATGTAATGTAATTTTTGGACATTTTTTATTAGAAGGTTAGGGGATAAAAAAAACACACCGTCTATTCGATGGTAAGTAGACGACACCGACTATTCGTTGTAGCACATAGACACCTACATGTATCATCTACTCCGACTAAGATGAAATGCCTCGTTATCAGTAAACAGGGAATCCCTTGTGTCACCCATCATACTCATCAGAATTATTTTTCTATCTGTAACACAAATGTCCTTCCCTGATCGAGCCCACCCATTTGTGATGCATATTTAGCTTTATCTTGCAAAAACCTACTATGGGAGCGAGAGAGAGAGAGACAGAGAGAGAGAAAGAGAGAGAGAGAGAGAGAGAAGAAGGTGATTCTTTGTCTAAGGCACACAGTGTGTCTACCAACGATATTCGAGACTATTCAAGACAAGTAAATAGAAAAAAACATTAGACAAACATGTTTACAATAATATATAACCCTTTGACCAATTAATATCGTAAATTATTGATAAAAAAATTCCTCACCAGTTTCTCCCAGCGCGATGTATGAATACAAGCTGGAGAGCAAGCCCGCGTCTGATCCTCTCGCTACCTCGCGTATGAGTGATACGGTTCCACCAGGAGCCAAGTAGTCCTCCGCTTCCACGAGACACTGAACATATAGTTTTAATAGAATAAGCACGATTCTTCTTCTATACATTCTATGCATTTTACTGCGATTATGTTACTGGATGTAACTTGCGACAATTTTAAGCAACCATATCAAAAATTAACAGCCCTAAAATGTTTATACAGTCCGTGAAATCGCTTGCATATCTTGAGTCATTGATATAAAAATATCGATACCCAGCAATGGGATGTTACATACTAAGAGTTGCGCAAGTATTGGGTTATACGAGGCCTGGAGGCAGGAGTGTCACTAGTATACAAGACATGGGCCGTAAATTTTCTGCGCCAATAGTTTATATAAATTATCATTATTTATTAAAGGAGAATATTCTAACTTTTTCTCCAAATGCCAACCAACCTGCTGATTGTCGGCCGAAGTAAAGTAACGAAGTAGTACCTGCACTATCGTGAGCTAACAGACATCCTGCGATGTCACTGTCATATTACTTGTGTCTCATCTTGCGACGGCAGAAATTAAAACAAATTTACTTTAAGGAAGTTGACTCGTGCAAATTGAGATAATTCGTGTGTGTGCAGCAGCTCCAGCAGGTGGCGCCAGGCGCGTGCAGCTGAGGGTGGGTACTCACGGTGGGCAGCAGGCGGCCGACGTACAGCGTGTGCAGCAGCTCCAGCAGGTGGCACGAGACGCGTGCAGCTGCGGGTGGGTACTCACGGTGGGCAGCAGGCGGCCGACGTACAGCGTGTGCAGCAGCTCCAGCAGGTGGCACGAGGCGCGTGCAGCTGCGGGTGGGTACTCACGGTGGGCAGCAGGCGGCCGACATACAGCGTGTGCAGCAGCTCCAGCAGGTGGCACGAGGCGCGTGCAGCTGCGGGTGGGTACTCACGGTGGGCAGCAGGCGGCCGACGTTCAGCGTGTGCAGCAGCTCCAGCAGGTGGCACGAGGCGCGTGCAGCTGCGGGTGGGTACTCACGGTGGGCAGCAGGCGGCCGACGTACAGCGTGTGCAGCAGCTCCAGCAGGTGGCACGAGGCGCGTGCAGCTGCGGGTGGGTACTCACGGTGGGCAGCAGGCGGCCGACGTACAGCGTGTGCAGCAGCTCCAGCAGGTGGCACGAGGCGCGTGCAGCTGCGGGTGGGTACTCACGGTGGGCAGCAGGCGGCCGACGTACAGCGTGTGCAGCAGCTCCAGCAGGTGGCACGAGGCGCGTGCAGCTGCGGGTGGGTACTCACGGTGGGCAGCAGGCGGCCGACGTACAGCGTGTGCAGCAGCTCCAGCAGGTGGCACCAGGCGCGTGTAGCTGCGGGTGGGTACTCACGGTGGGCAGCAGGCGGCCGACGTACAGCGTGTGCAGCAGCTCCAGCAGGTGGCACGAGGCGCGTGCAGCTGCGGGTGGGTACTCACGGTGGGCAGCAGGCGGCCGACGTTCAGCGTGTGCAGCAGCTCCAGCAGGTGGCACGAGGCGCGTGCAGCTGCGGGTGGGTACTCACGGTGGGCAGCAGGCGGCCGACGTACAGCGTGTGCAGCAGCTCCAGCAGGTGGCACGAGGCGCGTGCAGCTGCGGGTGGGTACTCACGGTGGGCAGCAGGCGGCCGACGTACAGCGTGTGCAGCAGCTCCAGCAGGTGGCACGAGGCGCGTGCAGCTGCGGGTGGGTACTCACGGTGGGCAGCAGGCGGCCGACGTACAGCGTGTGCAGCAGCTCCAGCAGGTGGCACGAGGCGCGTGCAGCTGCGGGTGGGTACTCACGGTTGGCAGCAGGCGGCCGACGTACAGCGTGTGCAGCAGCTCCAGCAGGTGGCACGAGGCGCGTGCAGCTGCGGGTGGGTACTCACGGTGGGCAGCAGGCGGCCGACGTACAGCGTGTGCAGCAGCTCCAGCAGGTGGCACGAGGCGCGTGCCACTGCGGGTGGGTACTCACGGTGGGCAGCAGGCGGCCGACGTACAGCGTGTGCAGCAGCTCCAGCAGGTGGCACGAGGCGCGTGCAGCTGCGGGTGGGTACTCACGGTGGGCAGCAGGCGGCCGACGTACAGCGTGTGCAGCAGCTCCAGCAGGTGGCACGAGGCGCGTGCAGCTGCGGGTGGGTACTCACGGTGGGCAGCAGGCGGCCGACGTACAGCGTGTGCAGCAGCTCCAGCAGGTGGCACGAGGCGCGTGCAGCTGCGGGTGGGTACTCACGGTGGGCAGCAGGCGGCCGACGTACAGCGTGTGCAGCAGCTCCAGCAGGTGGCACGAGGCGCGTGCAGCTGCGGGTTGGTACTCACGGTGGGCAGCAGGCGGCCGACGTACAGCGTGTGCAGCAGCTCCAGCAGGTGGCACGAGGCGCGTGCAGCTGCGGGTGGGTACTCACGGTGGGCAGCAGGCGGCCGACGTACAGCGTGTGCAGCAGCTCCAGCAGGTGGCACGAGGCGCGTGCAGCTGCGGGTGGGTACTCACGGTGGGCAGCAGGCGGCCGACGTACAGCGTGTGCAGCAGCTCCAGCAGGTGGCGCCAGGCGTCGCGCACGCAGTCCGCGTGGCGCGCCGCCACAGCGCAAGCGCGCCGCAGTGCCAGCTGAGCCTTTGCAGACTGCCCCAGCGACACCCCTAGTGCAACAAAAAAATTCGTGCAGGTGAATCAGCAGAAACACCCGAGGATTGCAGATGCGTTGCCGGCCCTTTAAAAAAGAGTAGGCTCTTTTCTTGAAGGTTCCTAAGTCGCATCGATGAATTTTTTTTAAAACGTGTTACTGCAGGACTCCGATATAATTATGATAACTGAAACATGGCTCCGCGATAGCATTTTTGATGCTGAGCTGTGTGATGACAGATTTACAGTCTTTCGTAGCGACAGAGGGTCGTTGTGGGGTGGTGTAATGATTATGTGTGCTTCGAATTTACAGGCACGCGCCAGATCAGAATGGCATTGTAGTGGCCTGGAGTCTGTGTGGGTAACTATTCCTGCTAAAGCTATCAAAGCCAGGCATAATTTGCATATTGCTACAGTGTACATCCCACCCAATGATCAATTTTTTTTTTTAAAAAAGAATACTAGTAATGCTATTAAACATTACTAATATTCCCTTAACCACTTCTGGTAAGCTTAAAATGCTTGTGTTAGAAGTGGTTCACGACAGTAGTCGAATGGAGGATTCGAACGCACGACCTTTCGAGTTCGCGGTCCACGCCCTGCCATTAGGCTACTGACGCTTCAATTCCATCAAGATTGCACATATTTATGAATCAACTCTCTGAAATCAAAAGTGCAATGATCACTTTATAATTGCGGGCGACTTTAACCTTCCTATCATTGACTAGCAATATGGGGAACCAATAATTCTGAGGAAGGACTTCGTCGAGCTTCAGAATGCTGCATCGAGTTTTGTCACTCAGTCTTCCTTTCTTGGCTTGTCACAGTTTAACAATTACACTAATAACTGTAACAATACATTGGACCTAATTTTCTCTGATTCGTCCGTCACCATAAAGAAATCTACGATGCCTTTTGTAACGGAAGATCCTCTACATCCGACTCTTTCTATTGTAGCTTCCGATATTCTAGTCCCTCCAATTAAACCTCAATCTCGCACTAAATATCTATATAAACGCGCTGACTTTGACAGTATCATCGAAATCAGGTACTGGAGTTTTTTTACTCGAAAATAGTAACATAGAGCACATATTAATGAAATTTTACTCGATTTTAAATAATAAAATACAAACCTTCGTACCACAAGTTCGTTGCCCCAGTACCTACCATTTACCCAGTTTGGTATAATATAGCGTTAATAAAACTAATTAAAGACAAAGATAGGACTCATGTGAATTGGAAGCGTCATAGAAACCCGATTGATTATGCACATTTTAGCTATCTCAGACGGACTATTAAGAAACTACAGACCGAAAGCCATCAATCATTCATTGCTTTCTCGCTACAAAGAATTAAGACTAATCCTAAATATTTTTGGTCTTATATAAAGTCCAAGAGAAAAGTAGGCTCCTCTTATCCACATCAAATGACCTTTGATCAGAATGTGTTAAATGCACCGTCGGATATCTGTTCCGCATTCAGCAACTTTTTTGAGAGAAACTTCTATGAACCAGCGGATCAATACCCAGCTAACTCAATAAATGAAACTCCACGATCTGACACTATACATGACATTAATGTTACTGAAGAATGTACTTATGAACTGCTTAAAAATCTTGACGTCAAAAAGGGAGCTGGTTGCGACGGTATTCCACCGGTATTCTTCGTTCAATGTGCCAAATCTCTATCGGATCCTGTGTCATTCGTTTTCAACAGGTTCCTTCGTGATGGATACTTTCATAATATCTGGAAAAAGGCCCATATAGTGCCAATTCATAAAAAAGGATTGAGGACTTCAGTTGAAAACTACCGACCTATATCTATACTTAACGTGTTGAGCAAAGTGTTCGAGAGGGTCGTACATAAATTTATCTATCCTGTAATATCTGTCTCAATACCAATAGAGCAGCATGGGTTCATGAAGGGTCGGTCCACAGCCACCAATCTGGGAGTATTTGTAGATTACGTATTAAGTAACATGGATGGCGGGTCTCAGGTTGATGTGATTTACACGGATTTTGAGAAGGCGTTTGACCGTGTAGATCACATTATTCTTTTACGTAAACTTTATGAACTTGGTATCCGGGGTAACTTGCTTAGATGGATGGAATCTTATTTACGCAATCGATCTGAAACTGTCGTTATAGGAGGATTTTGCTCAGATTTTATTGCGATACATTCCGACGTCCCACAAGGATCCATACTGGGACCACTTCTGTACGCTTCATATTTGTACGACGTAGGTGCTTGCTTCGAACACGCTCGATTCCTTATGTACGCTGATGACACCAAAATATTTATGAAAATTAAAAATGATATAGATTGTACTGGCCTACAAGCTGATCTTAAACGTCTAGAACAATATTATACTGATAATCGAATTGGAATAAATATAAATAAATGTTCTTTTATCTCCTTTACAAGAAACATCCAATCAATTTTGAATACTATATTAGTAATGTTAAAATTGCAAAATCGGCTTGTGTTAGGGATCTCCGTGTTCATATTGATTGCAAGTTGACATTTTCTGGTCATACAGAAAGTATTAAAAACAAAGCGTATAGAAGCTGGGTTTCGTATTGCGAGTTAGTCGTCCCTTCTCAGACATAGGTTGCCTAAAAGTACTATATTACACCTTATGTTAGGAACATCCTAGAATACTGTAGCATAGTTTGGAACCCTCAGTATATCATTTATACTCAAGATTTGGAGAAAATGCAAGAAAAATTCATAAAACACTTAAATTATCGGTCGCATTGCCTCTTTAAAAACTATGATGAATCCTTTCATTATCATAATCTCACGACTCTCAAAAATAGGCGTGTACTTGCTGACATGTCCTTTTTACACGGAATATGCAACGGATATATAGATAGCCCTGAACTATCAAATAAAATACTGAGTTTCTGCGCCCCGAAAGTTAGAACGAGACACACAAAATTATTTGCTGTAACACGATCAAAATCAAATTACGCACAAAACGCATTGGTCAGTCGATTGCATAGACCTTTTAATAACCAATTTAATGTTACTGACATTTTTCATAGTAGTAGACATGTGTTTAAGAGGGAAGTTCTTGAAGTAATGGGTTTTTCAACAAGAACTGTACCAGTCTTCAACAAGAACTGTACCAGTCCAGTAGACTACCCCAGGAGGGTACCAGTACCCCTGGAGAATCCCTCGCTGAGCATCCACGACCATGTTATTCCAATCCTGAGCGTGGGTGCTCAGGCTGCCCCGCGTATTCTGGGGGGTGGGGGTGGGGGGGGGGGCAAAATTCTGCTCAAAAACAAAACTGCTCGGGGCAAACTGAGCAACAATACCAAGGCGACCCCTGCTACGCTATCCGTGAATTTCTGCAACATCAGGGGACTTCACTCTAACCTAAACGCCGTCCACTACCATCTCGAGACGGCGAAGCCGGCCTTGCTCTTTCTGACCGAGACGCAGGTCTCCTCTCCGGCTCATATTTCGTATCTCTCCTGCCCGGGGTACAAATTGGAGCACTCCTTTGTGCCTCGGGCTGGAGTTTGCGTGTATGTCAGAGAGGACATCTGTTCTCGACGCCTCGGCAGTCTTGAAGGTTCGGACCTGTCCATCCTTTGGCTACGCGTAGACAGCGACGACCATCCACGCGTCTACGGGTGCCTCTATAGGTCCCATAGCGGTAATGCCGAAACAGACCGACTCATCGACCACGTCCAAATGGCTACAGATTCCTTGCTACAACAGGTCCCATCCGCAGAGATCGTGATCCTTGGCGATTTTAACGCCCACCATGCCGAATGGCTCGGTTCACGTTTAACCGATCATGCGGGGAGATCTGTTTATGACTTTGCCTTGGCATATGGTCTGACACAACTGGTTACTTCGCCTACGCGGATTCCAGATGTGGAGGATCATACACCTTCCCTGTTGGACCTTCTGCTGACCTCTCATCCGGACGGATATCAGGTTTCCGTCGATGCCGCTCTCGGCTCTTCGGACCATTGTCTGATCCGGAGTATGGTGCCACTCACGCTCCCTTCGCGGTTGCATTCTGCAGGTTGCCGCCGTGTTTGGCATTACAGGTCGGCGGATTGGAACGGAATGCGGTCTTTCTTTGCATCCTAGCCATGGGGGCGGGTTTGCTTCTCGCCGGATGATCCCAGCGCTGTTGCTGACTCTGTCACTGATGTGGTGCTACAGGGAGTGGAACTATTTATTCCATCATCTGTGGTACCCATCGGAGGCAGATCTCAGCCTTGGTTTGGTCGCTCCTGTAAGACTGCATTGCGCAGTAAGCAGGAGTGTTATCAAGCCTGGGCTGCGGCTTCGGTGACTCGGGATGTAAACACCAGCACATTAAAAAAGAAGTATAACTTCGCCTCCAGGTCCTTCAAAAGAGTTATTGCCAAGGCAAAGTCAGAGCACATAGGCATAATTGGCAAGAAACTAGTTCGCCTTCCTTCGGGAACCCGTGCATTCTGGTCTCTCGCCAAGGCTGTCCAAGGGAATTTCTGTAAGCCATCACTACCATCTCTGCACAGGGAGGACGACTCAATGGCTCCCTTTTTGCGTCCAACTCGACTCTTGATGACGGGGGGAAAATACCGCCGACCATCCCGCGGTGTGAGTGGTCCATGCCGGATGTGCTATTCTCACAGCGCTCAGTTCGCAAAGCACTTCTCTCCCTGGACATCCAGAAGTCGAGTGGGCCTGACGGAATCCCCCCAATTGTGCTGAGGACGTGTGCTCCGGAGTTGGCACCGGTCCTAACGCGTCTTTTCCGTTACTCCTACTTCCAAGGCGTAGTCCCGAATTCATGGAAGACAGCTTTTGTCCACCCGATCCCTAAAAAAGGCGACCGCTCAGACCCGTCCAACTATAGGCCTATCGCGATCACCTCCTTGTTCTCCAAAATAATGAAATCCATTATTAACTGCCAGCTCATCCGGTACCTTGAGGATCACCAGCTGATTAGTGACCGCCAATACGGTTTTCGTCGAGGTCGATCAGCTGGTGATCTTCTGGTCTA